TTAATCCTGCAGTAAAGCAATGGTAACAGATCCTGCATAATCAATCCTGCCCTCTTTATCTTTTTTCACTGCCCCTTTTTTTTTTTTTTTTTTTTTTTTAGATGATGCTCCAATCTATTCGTGGGGAGCAACACGGCTCGGAACCGGGCCCAGCGTCCCTTATCAGAATATAAAAATGAGCTACCAGGGCCATTACCCGGCTTCGGCTAAGAACAATTGAAGAAAAAGAAAAAACTCTGAAAACATTCAGAAGATGTGTGTCAACAAGCCTCCCAACCACGAATCAGATAGGTGAAATCTATTCAATCCACCTTCGACCACCACCAGCATGGCTGTTTTCAGCAAGCACCGAAGCCCTTCCAGGCCTCATGCTCCCATCAGGCTAGGTTACAGAGTTGCACCACCTTGCTCCAGCACCGGCCAGCATTGCTTCAATTATGACGCCCGATGACCTCTGAGACTGCCCCCGCAAACAGCCCCCCAGATCTCTCTACCAGGCCTCACACCCCCACTAAGCTGGGTCACAGAGTTGCGCCACCTGGCTCCGGCTCCGGCCAGTGTTGCTCCAGCATCGGTCTTCGAGGGCCACCGAATTTTCGACCACCCTTCGCAGGATCAAGGATGACTTGCCAGATATCACCTATTCCTACAACCTCCTCGAGAGGCGAGAACCAAACGGAAAGAAATACTAAACTGCATGTTAGAAGTCTTCGATAGAGATCGCCCCTCCCTCCCCCTCCCCCTCCCCCCTCCGCCCTACACTGCCTCCACCGAGGCGAGTCTCCCGCTCTCCCTCGGCCCCAATATACGACCAACCCTCTACCCCACTTTCCTCAGGAGCACGCAGTTCCCACCTAGAGCTTGCCCCCCTGCCCCTTGCCCATTTCTGCCTCCGCTGGGAGTGATGTTGACCCACACACCTGCCCCTGCCCCAGAATAGGGCAACCCCCTACTCCGCCCCTACCCTCTTTGAGACATTCACTCCCCACCTCGTGATGCCCCTGCAAGATAGAGCTCCCCCCACCCCCTTACCATTCATCCCTCGGGGAACGATCCGATCCAGCCGACTACAGTTATTAATGACACACTTGCCAAAATGTCGCAATTTGGAAAAGCAGGGCCTCTTCAAAAGTATGCAATAACCCCTGAAAACACCCTACATCTTTAAGAACAACCCACTGAAGAAAGCACAAGGAAGCAGTAAAACTATTACAGTTATTCCCCTGCCCCTTGCGCCAATCAACTTTTGGCAGCTCCCACCATGTGCACGTATCACCAATTTAAAAGAAGCAACAAACTAATTATCGGAGAGATTCCGAAGTTTTCGGGTTCCAACATTAGAAAATCATGATAGAACTTCATTTGAGACTTTTAGAAATTATAGTCGAAATTCAAGGCTACGTAGTTATAGAACAGATCCCTACGAATTATGTTGGCGATTCAAAATGGATCATATATGTTTCTGAGTATGTATGTACATGTAGATGAGAATACTTTACTTGGGACTTTTAGAAATTATAATCGAAATTCAAGGATACGTGTGTATGTGTGGACATGTAGATGAGAATTTGGCTGATTGGAAAATAGAAGATAGATTGTGAGTTTATTTTGCAAATTTGAGAAGCTGAGTTTATAATTGTGTAAGCACTAGATTAGAGAAAGAATATAGGAAATTAGAAGATGCAAAATTTAAATCAGCGAAATCAATTTGAAAAGGCAGCCGATGCGAAGAGCGCCACACATGTTTGCACAAAATTCTCCTGCTCCATCGCCGCTGTCATTATTGTGGCGCTACCTGCTTCCATGTCTTTAACCGTGAACCAGCTCAAACGAACGCTTGAAACCGCCAGCTCTTTTTGACGCTCCAGCTTGTAACAAGCCTCCTTCCTCCCACTCCGCATGAGAAGATGCTCCTCACTTTCTGCCCGCGCTGCCCAACCAACCTCCACTAGATTCGCGCAGGAGCATAGGAGCAGGGCCGCAACCATGCCCAAGATCTCATGAAGACTATCCTAATCACCCCGACAGCCTCCCCTTCCTCTAGCGTGTCAACCCGCGGCACCACCTAAACGAAGCACGGAGCAAGAGACCTCTTCAGCCTAGGTTATCAAGGTTGGAAGAACCCTCAGCCGAAGCATCACGTCAATGGCCACGCCAGACAAAACCAACGGAACCTCGCATCATCGCCTGCCGCCATAATCCCCATTGCCCACATCAACTCCTCAATATTCCTAGCATGGAGCCACGCCGACAAGGCGCCACCGACTCACGAACCGGTCCATGTCGACAGCGGAGTGGCACGGCCCCTATGGTCGTTATCGCTGTATTTAGGCTGAAATTTACCCAAATACGGCTACAACGACCATACGTTCGGGGGAAGACAGTTGGACTGTATCTGTCAAAGGCGCATCTCTGAGGTAAGAGAATGTAAGTGAAGGGAAGAAGATGGTAATTTTCCAACTGTAACATAGGACCTCGCCGTACCACTCGCCAACAATTTGAATGCATTGGGACCTGTTGGAGTCCGGATACATTCAAAGTGGTGGCGTTTGGCGAGTGAAGCGGTGAGAGGCCCATAGTGCGCAAAGATCCTCTTTACACAAAAGTTCGTTCAAAATATCGGGAGGGGGAAGGCAAAGACGTTAGCACTAGTTAACCTAAGATCCAAATCGGCTTACCGGATGCTCCGGCCCAAACGAAGACTGCGGGAGTTGGTAGAAGACAGATGGTATCACCATCTTAATATAGAGTGTGGTTTGCTCAAACCCATCAGATGGTTTGCTCACTATGGTAAGAGACCTGCAAAAATCTCTTCCCTAAAGTGGCAAATAGCACATCGATGCCTGCAAACCAACGATTGGCTAATAGAGCACACACGCCTAGAACAGCAGGGATGAGCATTACCTTGGTGCCACAGATGTCTCCAGTGCTACCCCGGGCGAAAGCGCGCTGAGACAATAGAACACATCTTCCTCCAGTGCCCGGCGGCGGTATTACTATGGAGGAGTTGGGATAGGATTTGGCGGCACAAAGTTCCAGGCACATTATGGCCATTGGACTGGAGGGCCATACTCCTGGGACACCACCCCCAGATACATTCGAGGAGAATATGTTTCACTTAGGAAGACGCGCTGTTCTATGGGTCATATGGTGGAGGAGATGCACCCTAGAGGTGGAGGTAGCAAGGGTGGAGGACGGAGAGGTCACGGAACAATTACGGCTATTAGTACAACACGAACTCATGGCCCAGTGGAGGGAGGCAAAAGACAAACTCGATCAAATGCATACCCGGGGAGATATCAACAGATCTTCTCCCGCTTTGGCAAGGATTGGTTGGGAGGGGAAAGGGAGGGATGGGTGGCAGAGGTAAGGTGGGCCGGGGATCAGCAGTTGGAAAGAGACCTGCAAGAGGGACACCCGGTAGAGATTGAAAGAGATTACCGGCTGGTTTTTCACGAATGGACCAAGGTGGATCCTGGCGACCCGTTACACCCCGCCCAGAAATTTGCAGACCCCTTCCCCCCCACCCCTTGTCCTTGGAGGTAGTGCCACCTGAGCCACAGTCTCCGATCCCTGGCTGATTAGCTGTCTTGTTTGATCATTTTTTATCAATCTTCTTTCAGTCTTAATTCAGTCTTATTTCAGTCTTATTTCAGCTTCTTCAGACTATTCATATTCATGGTTTTTCATGGCAGTTAAATTCAGTTTACACCACGAGGAGAGTAGATGGTGGGTTGGGGCTGGGTTACGGCTGGGTTACGGAGGGAGTCTCCACCGGTGGCCCCCGGTGGCCCCTCCCAACACCCGACCAGGCCTCAGGATAGGATGGGAAGTAAAAGTTCAGATATGGGACGCTGAACCCGGTTTCCAGCAGGTGATGCTCCCCACCAATAGATGGAGCGGCCCACCAGACAAAGCCTCAATCCCGGTGGTTCTCTTACCACCACTGGGATAGAGGCTTTGAAGTTCAAAATATCAAAAGTGTCGGCCTTCATCTTGCAATCATGTTGGAATCCGTTGGATACATCAGCCTTTTTTCCTAGGTTACCTGATCAGATGTCTGGGACCCCCCTGACCGTCCGGGGTTGTCCGTTCGGACATCCTCAAGCGCAAACTGCACCATTGGCACGCTGGCCCTGTTGGGGCATCGGAACAATAGAGCAAAAGTCTGGCCACCTTCGAGCAAAGGCCTGAAGGAAGCAAAGAAACCAAAAAAAAAAAAAGCTTAAACCACCAGTACTTCGCCCATACATCAGCCACGATGAAAAATAAGGCGCTGACGTTTTCCACTTGAATGGATTTACACTGGAGCCGCCCGGTGCGTCGCGGCTCGTGACTTTCCGTATCGGTGGTCTACGCATGCAGGGCTTAGCTCTAGGGTAGGGTAGGGATATAAGTCGCCCGGGCTAGTCTGAGTTCCGCCTAGCCTTGGGTAAGCTAGGGGAAGGACGGTAGGATGTGTCCACGGGTGCTGGCCTGCCGTGCTTAGGTAATCCTGCTGGGTAGACTCTCTGAATTGGACCTGTAGAAGATTGCATGAGCCTGGCGTCCGAAGTTCCTGTACGGCAAGGTTCGTCCGCTTCCGCTTCCATTAGGGCTGGGAGGTTGGCCCAGCCCTGGTGCTTGTCACTGCTGTCTGGTCCAAGTTGCCCTCAATACTGGTAGGGTGATGGTCCTGAGTGCTGGTCACACTGAGGTAGGATAGTTGGGATTGGGGGTGCGCTGGGAGCATTAATGTGGGAAAGGGCAGGGAATGTGGCCTATCCTGTCAGGACAACCACTGGCTGCCACTGCCTGTGATCACCGTGGGTCTGGTCCTTGGCCTCTACAACACCCTGGGCTTTCAAAAAAAAAAGAAAAGAAAAGAAAAGAAAAGAAAAAGGAGGAAAAGAAGAACCGCCAAAAGAGAACACCTCAGAAAATGTTCATTTCCATCCAATTCCATTCAAAAGATAGTTAACAGAGGGTTATGCAGAAAAATAAACTGAACAACTTTTGCCTTGGGATGACATCGAAATTCGTGGTCAAATTTAAAATACGAAATAAAATTAAAGTCACCCTCAATTTTGTTTTTCTTTTTTCATGCTTTCAATTGCTAAAAAAGGGTTTTAGGACGTCCTGCCATAGGGCAACTGGGCCGAGGCCCCACTAGCAAAAAGGATAGGATAGGGCTCCTGAATCTGGATGTGTTTTGAGCACAGATGCAGAAACGCAGTTCAATGAACTTCAATCTCGATTTCCTGCACATCTCCATAAACTCGTCCAGATGCAGGCATTCGATCCGATCCTCTTTGCTAGTGGGACCACGCCCCTGGTAACATAGCTTTTTTCTTTTTCTTTTTTTCAATACTTGTAACATCCATTGGGCTGCATGCAAACCAAAGTACAGCCAGTCTGTACAAAGTTTGCATTAAAAAGGCTCTTTTTTTGGGGGGGGCGGGGAGGGGCCACGTTTGTTTTGCTTTTTTTCTTCCCTTTCGGCTGGTGGTTTGTTTGGTGCCCACTTTATGGATTGGTGGCAAGTCTGGTCAAAAGGGTCTTAGGTTGTTAGTTACTTTTTAGTATTTACTGTTGTTTGTTTTTTTTTTGCTAAAGAAGCAACAGTTGCTGAAAAACAACGGGTCCGAAAATTGGGACATCCGTTAAAATTGGAACGATACAGAGAAGATTGCATGGCCCCTGTGCAAGGATGACTCACAAAATTCGAGAAATGGTCCCGGAAAAAAAAAAAAAAAAAAAAAAAAA